ATTCCTGGGATAGCAAAGTACTGTCAGATGACTGAGCAGGGCACTTGCTTCCCAAAGGCACAGAGTTGCTTGGAGCCTTGATGAGTTTCCATCCTGTTATCCTGAGATCTCTCTGGCTGTCCCCAGCGCTTTGACTGGATGCCCAAAATGTCCTCAGCTCTGCCTGGAAAGGCTGTGGAGGGATCTGTTAAGCTGGAGCCTCCCATCTCAGCCAGAGGGTGCAAAAAAAAAAAAAAATCTAATACAAAATGAGGCAGTTTGCTGATGAAATATTCATGTGGGCCACAAGGGAGAAGGGCCCATTATTTTTACTTTAAGGAGAAGAGAAAAGCAGCCGCTGCTGGCTTGCTGCTGTCCCCCACCCCCTACCACTCCGTGTCACCTTGATAGAGCAGGCAGGCACTCTTTGGAGCTGTAGGTAGGAGGTGTTTCTCTGCACACCGTTCTTTTAGTCCTTGCTGCGTATCGACGTGAAATACTTAAAAGCCTGCAGCTGTACACATCCCTGCCCAGGGCCTGAGCCTCGCCTGGCCCCAGACAGCCCCTTCCCGTCGGTCCCTAGGGAGATGTGATTACAGGTGCCCTGGCTGTCCCTGGGCAGCTCGGCTGCTGCATGGGCCAGTCCTCACACCCAGGCACCCTCCTCTGGGCTGCTCCTGGTCCTGAGCTCGTCAGGGCTTGCTCCCAGGGGGTGCACAGGGAAATGAATCCAAGTGAACTTTGCAGGTTAAGAGAGCTTTAATTACTGTGACTTAATCTGCTTTGGAAGGGAATGAAGCCCAGTTGAGTGAAGGCCACGTTAAACGTCGAAGAGCATCCGTGCTGGGCTTGGCTGCTGTTGGGTACGCTCACTCCCAGGTTGCGAGGGAGGCCCCAGCTCTAAATCGCCCGCTGTGACACTATTCCAGCTGAGCCAGGCTGCGGGACCTCGGCTTCCAGAAGGGACTGTCCTCGTTCTGAGCTGTGCTTCTCTGGTGCCATTGCTGTCATGCCTCTTGCAGAGCACTGGGAAAAATCTGCCAGCCTTGGGTGGGATGTCTGGTCTTCATGGTGCTATCAGCTCATGGCTTGCTGGCTTTGGGACCTTTTGCCTTGATGTGAGGTGTGGTGAAGAGCCTTGGACTTCACCTGGCTCCTCCAAAATCTGAGCTTGTTGTTCCATTCTTTGGTGCTGCTTCACACAGTCAGACAGACCTTTGACTTCTTGTGGTGGAGGATTGTGTTTTGACCCCAGGGCAGAGGGGTGAAGGCCCCTCTATTAACCTGGGCAGAGTCAATGACAGTCGCAGGAAATATTGGAAGCTCGCAGAAAGGGGTGTGCAAAGATCTGATGCAGAGAGCAGTGCTGGCATCACGAGAACGGGCAGCGTTCAGCCTCCTCCTGGCGCTGCTCCTCCGTGGCAGGTCAGCAGTGACATCGGTCGCTCTCCCGTTCCCATCCCACCTCTCTGTGCCATGCTGGCCATGTACCACACTTGTGACAGGAGCTATCAGCCGTGTGGTGTGTCGGTCCTGCGATCCCCACGCAGCTCAGCTTGGCTGACGGCCCTTGGCTCCCTCCGCTACTCCAGACGTGACTTCTTGCGTCAGGCTCCAACGTGGCTCCTGCTGTGCTGTAGCACAGCCCTGGGCGCTGCCTGGAAGCCTTCTCCTTGCTCTGTTAATGGGTCTCTGTCCTTGCTGACCACAGGCACGATGCACCTTTCTCCCTGGCCTGCTGGCTCGGTGGCTCAGGATTGCTTTCAGCGGTAGTTGTCAGCACCGGTGGGACCCGAGATTGCTCAGAACAGCACCCTGACCCCTCCACTCCTTGCACTGCCTTGAGCCTGCCTCCAAACCCGGCTCCTCCTCACGGTCCTGCTCATTGATATCAATATGCAAAGCTTGGCATGCATGTTGCAACAACCTCCACTCCTGAATTCCCATCTGTAAGATCGACAAAAGAAAATTACTGGATGCTACAACTTTTAAATGACCGAGGCTGCCCAGACATTTCTGTATCCAGAGGTGCCTTGCTTTGCCAGCTGATGATGAAAGCAAACCCCGCTATCATCAAAGGCTGGCTGGCAGTGAGGAGAGCCCGACCTGGCCGGTGGATTTGAGAGGTTGTTTGGTGTGACTGCCTGTGCCACTCGTCTGAACACACGCTTTAGGGCATGAATTGGCTGAATCGCTTTGTCCTGGCTTACTATGCACCATCGAGAGATGACAACGTGTCCCAGAGCATGGGAACAGCCTCTAGTGTTTTCTCTTTTTATTTGTATGTGCAGAGAGATATATATATGTTTAACTGTTGAAAGTAGGGTTATTCTGTTCACAAATATCATGCAAATAAATGCAACATATCCCTGGTTAATTCAACCCAGTCAACTGGAATTGACAGATACAGCCGAAGGCTATTTGATTTCTGGATGGTTTTACATTCCGAGAGAAGGGCTGGGGATTAGTTGGTTATTTTTTCCCCCCCCTCTCTCCTATTTCTAATCGATCTGAATGTCCTGGAATACATATGCAAAAGCTTTCAAACAGGCACTGTTTGGGAAAGTACAGCAGAGATCAGACTTCAGCCCTACAGCGGGAGGCTGTAGCGCTGTAAACCAGCAAGTTTGTTAATGCATTGCTACAGTTCAGTAAGCCTGCAATGCTACTGTATTGTAGGTGATGTTTCCAGCTTTTACAAGGTTAAATTCAAGGTTGGTAGAGGCATCCTACATTCATCAGGCAATAGAGATATCCCTCTCTGGCTACCTTTTCCTCCAGCACATCTGTTCTGTATGCCTGAAAGGATGGGGTTTGTAGCATAGTTTAACAAGTTTCCTTATCTGTAGGCAGATGCATTCATTATCAAAAGGCTTGAAATGGAAACCGCTGCTGTTGGCGTGTGTGCGATAGTGTAACCGATCCGTCTGGCGGAGGGGGGATCTGGCACACGGCTCCGTACCTTCCCGGAGCGGGCACCCGGCCGGCGGGATGGAGGTGTGGAGCAGGGGGACTGGTGTGCGGCCAGGGGTGGCTGGGTGGGCTTTCAGCTGACGGGTCAGTCCGACCTCCTTGGGTAGCTTTGCTGCAGTGTGGATTCAGCGCAGAAGCAGCTGGCATTGCTGGTCCGGGGCTGGCACATTCCTTGCCCATGGCTTTACGTTGCATTTTTGTGTGGACACTGGGATTCCTTCACTGACGGCTGTGGAAGAAGCCATTATGGGGATTTGGGAAGTTGCTGGTGGACTGTCAGCTGGCCACTGGCTTTGCTTTCACCATCCTGTTCCAGTCAGTGGTTCTGGGCCAAAATCCAGCTTGCACCAAGCTTGGGTCAGAGACTATTCTGTGTGGATGAGCAGGAGGTGAATGCTAAGATCTGGGCCGATTATTCAGTGTGGACCTGGCCTAACACGAATGATACCTCATGAGAAAGCACGAGAAGGGATGCGAGGATTAAAGGATATGGAGGGATGAAGGAGGTGCGGGCAGATACGCACTTGTGGTTGTGCAAGTTATTGCAAATCTTTATGCTTTGCACGTCTGTGTTGTCTGTGGCAGGTTGAAATGATGGCTGTATTTCCCAAGTTTTGCTATTACTAGTTTCCTACGTTAAGGGCAGCCTTCCCTGTAGTCGTAATCGGTGGATCCAGTGTTTCATCAGAGCTTTGTGCCCATCTTCCCCGTAGGTGAAGTAGCCCGTGATGGTGGTCAGTAATAAGCGTGAAACAAAGGGCTTGCACTAGTGTAAAGCTCTGGTGAAACGTTGTTGGAGCCACGTGTCTCCAGGGCAGAGACAGCAGCAGGTCACGGTCCCCCAGCCCCATCCCCACAGAGGGATCTTTCCTGCTTGCTGGAAGGATGAGACCTACTTCCAG